TTTTGGACAACATGTTGACTTAGGCATATCACATGTTTCTTGGAAGTCATTTTCTTGTCAGATTTTTCAGGAATTAATTGGATTGTGAGAACTGTACAATATCCTCTTGAAAAAGTGTCAGTGTCTCTGTCCATTGTAGCATCCACAAAATTATCTATGTTCATGATGTTTTTGAAAATGTTACTTTAATGTTTACAGAAAATGATTCAAAATCAGTAGTTTGTACCTTGAGTTTTGGTTTTGTGAAGTTGCAAATAGGGACAATAAAGAGATTTTTAAAAAACCAAAAACCAACTAGCTGGAACTCACTTTGGAATTTTTTATTTCCTCTGAAACAGAAGATAATAATTTTCTTCTCAGTGGTTTTGTGGCTTCTTTGATTTCAGCCACATCTTCCTGGATTTACCTTTTCCAGTTCCCTTATTTACCTGCTTTGATGAACATTTAGGACATAGTTTTGCATAGCTTATGGATACAGAACCTCTGACTTGCTTACTGCCCTACTTCCTACCTTTGCACCCTTTCTTGCACCCCATGCCACTTGCAGGAGATGTGCTTGTCAGCCCCCAAATCCAGTAACCTATCACTATTACTGAGGTTCCTGGACCAACCTCCATCCACACCCGCTGCAGAGACGTGTTTATCAGCCTCTGGATCCAGTAATCTAGCTCCAGTACTGGGGTTCCTAGACCGACCTCCACCCACATCCCCTTTAGAGACCTATGCTTCCTCCCCCAACCCCCATCACAGAATGCTTCACACTCCACTACTTCCACCACTGGCTGAGGCTAACTCAGATTAATAGTGTGCCATATCAAAGCTATAAGAATAGACTTGGAGACATTGTAGATGATGGTTTTAAAAGCTTCATTGATAACTTCCTAAGGAAAATTTTGACTTCCCAAAAGCGAGGTCAGTGTGGCCCCTTCCTATGTGTAATCACTGCAGTGGCCGGAATTTATTTGTAGGGAGTGTCAGCCAAGCATGGCTTCACTTTGTGTCATGAATTCAAGTCTGTTTCAGAGGCATTGGTGTGTACAGCCATAGGACAGTGGAGATAACAGGAGATACATTACCTGTCCTAGATGTGTTGGGTGAGCCTTGAAGCCATTTGGCTGCAGTGAATCACCCACAGGGTCTTGCAGGTACCAGCCCTCTCTTCTATTTTGAGACCTTTACACATGCCCTCCTCCTCTGCCTGGGACATTTTCTTACCTTTTCTCTGGTGAGCCAACTTTTTCTCCTCCTTCAGGTCACAGCATTAGTAAGCATTTGCTTGAGGTAGCTTTCCTTGACCACCCACGACTGGGTTAGGACCCCCTCTGGACATGCTCATATTGCGCTGCCCCATTCTGAAACATGGCACACAGTACCATGATGGCGGTTTGTTTATCTTCTCCCTTGTAAGATTCTGAGTTCCCGCAAGGTAGGAATCATTTTGTTTGCTGTTGTATCCCTGGTATCTAGGACAGTGCCTGTCTGACCAAAAGTTATCAATATCATCATTAATACAAGGGCTAACATTACCAAGCACTCACTACGTGCCATGCTATGTGCTTGGGGTTTTCTCATTAAGTTTTCACAATGACTTTTGAAATAGGTACAATAATGAATTTTACAGAGGAGGAAACTGAGACTGATAGAAGTTAAGTAATTTGTTCAACACAGCACCCATAGAAAGCAGCAGAACTTGTATTTGTCTCTGGAATCCCTGCTCTTAATGGTTAGATTACACACAGTGATGCACAAATAAAGGATATCTGCAAAGGCATCTGGCCAGAGCTCTGTGTGGGCCAGTAGCCTCATGAATGGTCTGAGGAGTTGGCATTGGCTGGCTACAAACGGTGTTCCAGAGAGTCACATTTTTCTAGTCATAGAGGACACGTCAGCTCCAGATGCCAAGTTCTAATGACTGGCAATTTGTTTTCTCTAAGAAGTTTGGCATTTACTATGGCCCATAGAACCTTAGAGGCTGTGTAGTATAGTATACAGAACTCTGGTTTTAGAATTAGGGATTGAAGACTTGGGATTACCCTACCTCCCCTTAAACACAGTGTTGATGTGAGTAATTTGAGAGTGGTCTTTGTGAACCTGCTTCTCTGCACAGTGTAGACAGGGAGCTGTAGTGTGGGTTAGAGGGAGTGTGTATAAAGCTGTCTTCCCAACTTGCTGGCTGTTACCTACTGCTCTTGGGATATTTTCTCTGGCATATTATTTCCTGTCATGGAGCACGTTGGTGCTTAATAAAAGAAGTGTACATGCAGAGTGATTTCAGGGCAGTTCTAATGATTTAAGAGTTCAGAAAGTTAGGTCTTCTACTCATATGTTAAAAGGGAAACTTACCTATTACAGTATCATAATATGGCCCCTGACATTATTTACTGGATTAAGTAACTACATTATTTACTTCAGAAAAAGAAAAGCATATAGATTGCTTTCTTACTGCCTCCTCCCCACCAACAGCATTATAGGAAAATCTTATTTTTCTATCTTTCTGTTTTTTTTTTCCCCCTTCTTTGAAACAGTATGTTTCAAGGCAGAGGTTTCCTTTGTTAGACAAGCTTGGCTGTTAGGCAACTATGCCACCTTGCTCCCAGCCAAATCACCTATTCCTGCCGTACCCCAGAAAAAAGAAACAATGTGTTTCTCCCTGTGGCCCAGGCTGGAATTTGGTGGCATGATCATAGCTCACCGCATCCTTAAACTCCTGGGCTCAGGTGATCCTTCTGCTGCAGCCTCCTGAGCAGCTGGGACTACAAGCGTGTGCCACCACACCTAGCTAATTTTTGTATTTTTTGTAGAGATGGGCTCACTATATTGTCCAGGCTAGTTTCGAACTCCTGGCCTCAAGCAATCGTCCTGCCTCAGTCTCCCAAGGTGCTGGGATTATAGGCATGAGCCACTGCATGCAGCCTTATTTTTCTGTTTTATCTCTTTGAGAGTCTTAAGTAACTTAGGGAAAATTATGAAACTAGTTAAATCCAGGGCCTGCTGTGTACAGGGAAGATAATTTCGTTTCTGTTTTGCAGAGACAGGCTATAAATACATAAGTACAGAAAATAAGAGGATTTCCACTTGCAATAAGGGTTAGGAGGGAAATAAACACAATGAGGTGGGAAAAATAATTGTGGTTGGGTTGGTGTGAGAATAGAAAAGGATGGCGAGTTGGACAAGGTAGCAGCTGAAGTCTGAGCATGAGGAGCTGGGACAGGAAATTCTGGGGAAGAGATAACAGTGAATGCAGGGGCTCGGAAGGGAAGCCTGCTGGGCATGTTTTAGGGGTGGCAACATGGCTGATGCAGAAGGAGTTAAGAAAGATAACATTTTATTTTTTATTTTTTACTACTGATTTAGGCTTAACTAACCAAGTTAATGGTGCAAACAACCAAACGCATTAGCAGAGACAGGCATGAATGAGAGAAGCAGCAGCTGGGGCCAAATGCTGTAGGGTTGAGGTAACAAGCTCATCTGCCTTCAGGGCCAGACCAGTACCTTGACTTAGTGAAGACAGTGTGGCTTTACTTTTGTTCAGTCTTTGATAGAGACATAGGTGTAGAGAAATATTGCCCTGAGAAAGACAGCAAACACCATGATAAATGGCAAGTGAGCAGTACAATGCCATGGTGACTATGGCAAGTGGCCTTTGACCTCAGAGTCAGAGCCACAGTAGGGACTGGGAGCAGCTCAGAGCCTGCTGGCCCTGACTCAAGGGGGGCAGCTGTTCCTCAGTGCCAGCCAAGCATTGCCATGTGAGAATGTGAGCTCTCTCTGCTAAATTTGCCAAGTTTTCCAGAGAACCAGAAATCTGAATTTTTATGTGACATTCCCAGATTTTAAAATGTTGGCTCAAACTTTAAAAAAAAGTTACAATGAATAGACAAAATGCATCTGTGGGCTTTCAGTCTGAAACATCTGCTGAAAGCCCTTTTATATTATGATAAAGGGGGTTCACTGAAGTATGGTGGGTGCATGTGAACCATTTATCCTTGTGCCTGGTACATAGCCAACACTGAAGAGAAAAAGGTACTTATTATTCATTGCACTCTTGATGTGTTTGGGTTGTTTTCACCATTAATTTATTTAATGAACTCTCAATCCATATTAAAGATAAATATTATCCTAGTCTAATTCAAGAGATTAAATTAATGAATGATAGTTGCTGTTATTTGCATATTGTTTAGTAGTTTGCTCTATTATTTAGGTTAATTCTGTGTTCGTGTTACAAGAGCAAATGTTAGTCTTATGTAATTCATGTAAAATTAGGAACAAAGAACGCACATTTTAAATACCTGTTCTTTTCTTATTTACTGTCTATTTCCTTTGCTGGGCAGTCGTTGCTTTGCGCACTTGTTCTGGTGCTTCCACCCATTTAGGTCATGAGATCTCCTAGCCAGTGTTAGCTGCATGTGCAAGTGGGAGGGACCTTTGGCAAAAATGCCATTCTGAGCCAGGCGAAGGATGATGAGGAATTCAGCCTTACGACGTGACGTCGCGTTTAGAGGGTTTTCATCAGTTTTAATGAAACACAAATGTGTCCCAAGAAGGTTACTTTTTCCTCCATGGAAAACAATCTTCATTTAGTATGTTCTAACTCATGCAGTTTTATATTACAAGAATCATGTTTGGTGTGTTGCAATCCTTTGGCAATTGTCTTGGGAAATTTTATTCAGCACAAGCATCTCTGATGGTTCTGGCATCAAGTTGGGTTAATTACTTGTTCATGTACTTTTTGGTCTTGTCTTTATGTTAAAATTCTGGAGCATCATGGAGAGGAACACTGGGAGTAACAAAATATTTTTGAGTATTTATGATAGATTAAAGGTTTACAAAAACATCTCTTTTTTCCCCCAAGGTTTTTTTTTCTTTGCATTGTTTTCAAATGAGCTCATTTTGTATCAACATGAAGCTAGGAACTTGAAAATAAGCTTTTTGTATGAAAAATCTTTTCTGTAAATACTAGTTTTCAATTGAATCAATATTTCTCTCAATTTTTGTTACAGATCATGGAGGAAACAAACACACAGATTGCTTGGCCATCAAAACTGAAGATTGGAGCCAAATCCAAGAAAGGTAAATTGTGAGAGAGTGAGAAATAAGTAGTTTTGATAACTTAGATCAGGCGTCCCCAAACTACGGCCATGGGCTGCATGCGGCCCCCTGAGGCCATTTATCTGGCCCCCTGCCGCACTTCAAGAAGAGGCACCTCTGGTGGTCAGTGAGAGGAGCACAGTATGTGGTGGCCCTCCAATGGTTTGAGGGACAGTGAACTGGCCTCTTGTGTAAAAAGTTTGGGGACGCCTGACTTAGATTATGGAATTACTGCAGATTTTCTGGGGAGAAAAATAATTTTTATTCTTAACACTTTTGTCCCAAAATATTTGTTAAGTAATAGTCTTTCAGGAGGATTTCATAATTGAAAATAATGTATAAGTTTTAATCTAACAGAAAATGATTAACTATTAATATGATAGAAATATAATTATGAAAGATACAGCAACCTGTGATTTCAAGAATGCCCATTCAATTGATATTCATGAGTCATTGTAACTCTCCACGTGTTTAAAAAAAATATATATGTATATATATACATACATATATATTTTATTGCACTTTAGGTCCTGGGGTACATGGAAAGAACGTGCAGGATTGTTGCATAGGTATATACATGGTAATGTGGTTTGCTGCCTCCATCCCCGTCACCTATATCTGGCATTTCTCCCCATGTTATCCCTCCCCAACTCCCTACCCCACACTGTCCCTCCCCTAGTCCCCACCAACAGACCCCAGTGTGTGATGCTCCCCTCTCTGTGTCCATGTGTTCTCATTGTTCAACACCCGCCTATGAGTGAGAACATGGAGTGTTTGATTTTCTGTTCTGTCAGTTTGCTGAGAATGATGGTTTCCAGATTCATCCATGTCCCTACAAAGGACACAAACTTATCACTTTTTATGGCTGCATAGTATTCCATGGTGTATACGTGCTACATTTTCCCTGTCCAGTCTATCATCGTTGGGCATTTGGGTTGGTTCCAGGTCTTAGCTATTGTAAACTGTGCCACAATGAAGATACATGTGTGTGTGTTTTTATATTAAAATGATTTATAATCCTTTGGATATGTACCCAGTAATGGGATTGCTGGGTCAAATGGAATTTCTCTTTCTATGTCCTTGAGGAATTGCCACACTGTCTTCCACAATGGTTGAACTAATTTACACTCCCACCAACAGTGTAAAAGTGTTCCTGTTTCTCCACATCCTCTCCAGCATGTTGTCTCCAGATTTTTTAATGATCGCCACATGTTTTTAACACATAAATTTCTATTGTTTCCATTTCAGAGTTCTTTTTTATGCACCACACAGATTTAATAGCTGCTTTTTTCCCTTCCAGTGTGACATGAACCTTAGACTGCATGTCTCAGGTACTGCTTTTCTTCATCTATCAGACAGCAAAGAACCCACTAGATTTTTCTTTTGGTTTGTTTCCCTGCCTGGTTTTATCCTGTTGGACACTACCCAGTGCATAGATGTTCAGAAATGAAAATGCAAGCCTCCTTAGTTTTCTCCCTGGATTACATAGTATCTTCAAATGTGACCTGCCAGTATATATTTTTATGGATAGTGTTTAAATTATGACCTTAGTATCAGCAAACTTTGTTGTGTAAATTTCATTAGAAGAGTGCAGATGTATGTAACTGTCTGAACGTAATGACAAATGCCATCAAACAATTAAAAAATAATTGCAGTCAGTATTGCCTATCATGGCCTGGCTTTGTTATTTTCCCTGTTTAGTTTCGTATTTTCTGCCCTTCTCCCTGTGACTTACTGCTAAATGATAACATTGCAAGATTTCTCAATTTCCTTTCTTACTTCAGGCCAGTTTGCCTTCTTTTAATTGCATTTTGTTAGAGTTACTCATCACATGGAATAAAAATTGTTTTAGTTATTTAGTGTTGTTGTTAGCTGGACTTTGACTGGAATTCTTGTAGAGACTCCTATCTTGTTACTTTTTTTTTTTTTTTTTTTTTTTTTTCCGAGACAGGGTATCACTCTGTCACCCAGGCTGGAGTGCAGTGGAATGATCTGTGGTTCACTGCAACCTTACCCTCACAGGTTCAAGCCATCTTCTCACCACAGACTTCCAAGTAGCTGGGACTACAGGTGCACACCACCATGCTTGGCTAATGTTTGCATATTTTGTAGAGATGGAGTTTCACTATGTTGCTCAGGCTGGTCTTAAACTCCTGATTTCAAGGAATCCACCTGCCTTGATCTTCCAAAATGTTGGGATTACAGCTGTGAGCCACCACACCCAACTTGTTATCTTTTTAATTGTCATCATGGGTGGCAAGGAAGTGGGAACTTATGTGCTAAACAGTCATAAGAAGACATGGTGAATTTGCAAGTGCAATTCTGTGTCTTTGTATAAACATATATTTCCCAAGTGCTGTAGCTTATATTCTCAATTAATTGTCAATAAATTTCTGTGGTATGTTGGAATGTTTTATACTCATTATGCAGAAGAAGAAACTGCCCCTTATGAATTATCTAGCTATTTGCAGCATTTAAAAATTTCTGTCCTACTACTAAATTGGAACTTGAACACAGACTAGATACTCTTTCCCTATTGTCAGGTATTTTTACTTAAAGAATAAAATTAGATGTATTACCAGCCCAATAAAAATGCAATTTAATCAGTCTCCAAAGAAAATCCCCAAGGAAACACGAACATTACAGCAATTCCAGATAACTTTGAATGTCTTATTTTCTTGCAGTATCCATGCTGTGGTTTTCCTCTCCCCTATGGCATTATCCAGAGAAACTGAGAACTGATTAGTTTTTGTTCAAAACATGGTGACAACATTAGACATTTCAGAAAATATGCAGCTGAATGCATTTTTTTAAATTGGTTTCTTGTCATTGACACTTAACCCATTCAGAATGGCCAACAATGTTGCACATTTTTATTATATATTTTGCTTTGGAGTTGAGAATATTTCAGCAGTACATTTGAGGGCGTTTGGCATAATTTCCACATGGTAAAAATTTACCTTTGGAATTGTGCCTAAGAATTGATCCCTTCAGACCTGGATCTACAGACATCATTTTATTTTGTATTATTTATGAAGTGCTATGGATGTATCTAGTACTATAGGATGCACAGAATGCTCTGAAAGGAACACAAAGAGAGAGGATCAGAAGTTTGCCTCTGAGGAATTTACTGTTCAGAATTTACTTGAGTTGCTCTTATCATTTAAGCACACAGCTGCTGAATCAGTTCTTGGCTAACATCCCTGGTATGTATATACCTATATTTTTTATATGATTCAATGCAGAGATGTAATTTTTTGACTGTAATTTGTATTTAATAAAAGTGAAATGAAAATGGCAGGAGGAATGTTAGAATGTAATTATTTGCTTTTTCATCTGATGTGGCTATTCCTCCTTGCCCCTGAGTGTTGTAGAGGAAGGAATTGTTGGTCTTGAACCCTTTTTCATTCCAGACTATTATTATTCAAGAGACCGAAGAATATAAATGTATTTAGGGACTCATGCTGTGTTTTGGATGATTATTATATTCTGAATCCCATGGTGATATGAAACTTTGAAATATACACATAATCTGCAGGCTGTGCTAGAGAGACGATATAGCCATAGGTTTGTGTTGCATTTCACTTCTGAGTTTCTAAAATGCATATTGGCTGAATATTTGAGCCTAGATAAACATTTTTCATGGCCACTGTTACCACAGTTTGCCCCCTTCTTTACCTTACTGGAATTTAGTTCTGTGTTTCCTAAGTTAGCGTCCATAGCTTTGTCTAAGTGTTATTTTTTAAGCCATTAATCCTTTATCAGAGCAGCTATGTGAGTGGCCATATGGCTCACTTGGTTGAAGAGCTGGTAGGAAGCTGCCTGGCAAGAAGGCAGGCAGCCGACAGCTTGATTTTGCCATCATTGAGAGAGTTCAGATTCTTTGCCTCTAGAGATGTTGGCTCAGTAGTTCTGAGGCTAGTACTGGGAGCTACTATATTTAAGAAGTTCCACTGGTTGTTCTTATGGTCAAGCTGAGTTTGGGAAACACAAATCTCAACATCAGACATGGAAATATCATGATTTAGTCACTAAGAAGACCACATGTTCTGAAGGCATGGGTGACCACTGCTGAGAAACAGGCAGAGTTATTCTACAGTCTCATCCGAATAATGCCCATCTTGGCATCCATAGAACTACATTTTTATGGATGCGTTAGTTTCACTTTTCTGTCATCTTAACATGGATTAGTTTAGAGTTATGACAGCCTCATTGTTCTATGCCTGTGTTAAATATTGGATAAAAGACCATCTAATTTTTGCCCATTCCCTTTCCACCTTCCTTTCTTATCATCTCACTTTTCTTTATTTTCTTTCACTCCCCTTGCATTCTTCTGTGACCATATTCTAGATAGAATATAGTGGGGGAAAAAGTGGTAGAAATATTTTCATGTGCACAGGGCATTTTAGGGAAGTGCATGTTTTGTGATACAAGTTTTTTTTTATTTTAAATTGAGGGATACATGTGCATGTTTTTTACATGGGTTTGTTGCATACCGGTGGAGACTGGGCTTTTAGTGTTACTGCTACACAGATAGCAAACATTGTACCCAATTGGTAATTTTTCATCCCCTTGACCTAGAATTTTTTGAAAAAAATCTCTATAGAGTATTTGAAATTATTGGCAGGTTGAATCCTCATTAGAGCTGGAGAGAACTAAGAATTTAAGTTTCAGTATAATGGACATTTAAATTAGTGACTCTAGAATTGTCTTAAAGAGGGTCATGATTAAGAAAAACAAAGCAATACTTGGTATTTCTTTTGTATAACATAAGTTTATTTTGAGTGGATGAAAATTGAACTGCTTCCAACTCTTAGAGTCAGAATACTAGAGCAGTCTTCTTCACATTGAAATATTTGAAGTTTGTGCCTGTGAAACCAGTATTTAAGGATTAAGGTGTTTAATACCATACAGTCTTACCAACAGAATAACTTCAAGCAGTCATTAAAATTTTGAATAGGCTATTCTGAATCATAGCCTAT